CTGAGGCAGGAGAATGGCGTGAACCCGGGAGGCGGAGGTTGCAGTGAGCCGAGATCGCGCCACTGCACTCCAGCCTGGGCGACAGAGCGAGGCTCCGTTTCAGAAAACAAAACAAAACAAACTTCTTCAAGTCCTGGGATTAATCATTTTTCCTGTGTTTAATGGGGCTGCTTTATGTTCTTCAGGGGCAAACAGCACCCCCCATATTAGAAATGGACTCTTCCAGTGACTAAAACAGCTGAGCAACGTCTGTCCTCCTGGAATCCAAAATGGACTTTCCCAGGTCCCATTCCTGGAAACCCAAATGGACGCATCCATTGAGCCTGGAAGGTGGGCTCTTCTCAACCTCCTTTCCATCTCCCAGGATTCAGAATGGCCATTCCAAAGGTCCCGGACACACCCCCAAGACTCATTCCAGGAATGCTTGGCTTCTGAGATTAGAAAAGGATGATGGGGTGGTTTTGTTCCTAGAGGTGACAGAAATGGACTCCTCCAGTTCCCTTTGTCCCAAATTTCTCAATCGCCCGGGGCGTTGGGAGTTTTGGCCGTTTTGCCTTCCGCAAAGCTAGTTTACCGAAGAGTCTCTGGGGAGCTGGGGGTTGGGGATGGAGGCTGGGGCTGGGCCAAAGCAGGTTCACCCATTCCTTCCTGTAACAGATGTTGTTGAAAACTCTTCAAGGCCAGGTCCCATTCTTGCCCAGAAGGAGTTCCCAGTCTGGAGGAAAGAATCAATTTTGGTTTGATATCTGCTACAATGGAGGCTGCCCGAGAGACACTGTGGTTGGACAAAAAAAAAAAAAAAAGGGCAACATATATTGAAAAGTAAGCCAAGATATGGTTTACATTTATTTCTGCTTTTTCACTTACAAGCTATGTGGCCCTGGGCAAGTCATTCACCCTCTCGACCTAAGGTTTAACCTCTGCTTAATGGGACTAGACTTGAATTACTGTTTTTCACTCTGAGATTCTAGGTCTCCTGACAACTCAAGTCCCGACACGTTGGCTACAGAGAAGGGGGGAGGGGAGGAAGGCATCCTAGAAGAGGATTTTAGCAGTCGGGGGTGACAGGAGATGGAGAAAGGGAACACTGAGACGCTTGCGCAGTAAACACCGCACGCTCTCTTGCCCCGCCCAACCCCTTCTCTGCAGCAGGGAATTGCAGGCGTCGCTCCACCTATCCCAGCCGAGCGGAGTGACACCCTCTCTCGTGCCTTTTCTACTGATCTTCGCCTTCCGCCCGCCCCACAGCCGCCCAATAGAGAGCTGAAGTAGGACAGATCTCGCCAATCCGCGACGCCTGAGGGGGAGGTCTACCCGTTCATTGGTTCCAGTCAACCTAAGTCCCGCCTCCTAGTCCCATTCCCCGCCTTCCTTCACGACCCTCCCTCCCTCCTTGGAGGGCCGCTAGATCCAATCAGTGTTTGACCTGGCCGCGCGAAGGGGGCGGGTCCATGATGCGCAATCGAACCCCGCCCGTCTCTTGGGCAACGCCTCCTCCCCCCCTTCTCATCCCAAACGGAAATAGCGGAACAGTGGACCAATGGCAGCGTCGTGCCTTTGCTTAGCGGCCAATGAGAGAGGAAGTGGGGAGAAACGCGAGTGTGAGCGGCAGGAGCCCAAACCAATGGAAGGCTCAGATCCCCGGACGGCGGGCGGAGGGGAGGGGCAGGGGGCGGTGCCACGGCCTGCCAGCCCGCCCGCCCGCCAGCCAGCCCTCCCCGCGGCCGGCTGCGCTCCTTGGCGCTGCCTGGGGTCCTTTCCGCCCGGTCCCCGCTTGCCAGCCCCCGCTGCTGTGTGCCCTGTCCGGCCAGGCCTGGAGCCGACACCACCGCCATCATGCCGGCCGTGTCCAAGGGCGATGGGATGCGGGGGCTCGCTGTGTTCATCTCCGACATCCGGAACTGTGAGCGCGCGGCCGGGGGACACTGGAGACGCGGGGGAGGGGGGAGCGTGAAACTGAGGGGTTTGGGGGTCACAGAGGGACCCGGGGGATCAAAAGCTCTACGGTCGTAGAAAAAGAGCATAGATGGGCCCCGGGAGGAACTTTAGGGTGGGGGGCACGCAGGGGCTTGGGGTGTCATAGAGTGCCTCTTGAGGTGACGACACGGAGTAGCTAGAGGGGTCCGGGAGGGCTTGAAAGGGGAGGAGGACAGTGAGGTCCCGGGGATGGGAGCATAGAGGTGTCCCCTGGGAAAGACTGAAAAGCTGGGGGATCGTACAAACGATGGGGTTAGAGGGATTCCTAATGTAGGGAAGAAGGGAAAGAAGTGCATGGTGGGGGTGCCCTGTGGAGCGATGGAATGGGAGGAAGCCAGAGGGGACCTGGAGGAAGTGGAATGCCGAAAGCCTAATGGAGCAGGGCTTGAGGGCCTGGGATAGGGGGTGTCATACAGGGAAAAGGGGTTAGATAGGTCACCGAGGCTCCTGGCCAGTGGTATAGAGGAGGCCTGAGAGTGGGTGAAAGTCCACGCGTTTGGGGCGGGGAGATGATGGGAGGGGGAGACTATAAGGACACCCTGGTGAGGGATAGAGGGGCTTCAGGATGGGAGATTGCTTAGAAGATATGGAAGGCAGTGGGGAGGGGGCTAGAGGGGCAGCTGAGGGGAAAGGAGGGACCCAAGGAACACAGAGGAAAAGAGCTGCTGGTGTAAGGTCTTGGGAGAACCTGTGACAGGGAACGGGGGCCTGGAAAGGAGAGGACGTTAGAGTGGCGGGTTGGGGGAAGGGCAGAAGAAGGAGCGCCCAGACCTCAAGGAAGGCGTTGGGTTCTGAAGTGCTTGAGGGGTAGAGATCTGGAAAGCTGGGGATAGGGGAAGTCTAATCCCAGAGAGAGGTCAGGGGTCAGGCAGCAGGACAGGCAGGGATCTGAGCCCTTTTCTGTTTGACCACAGTAATATGGGGACAGTGGTCCCTGCCAGGAAGAGTTGTTGTGACAATGAAGCCTGGCGGCAAGTCAGCTCTCAACTCCTGGGAATGGCTGTTGGAGATTGGAGCTGCCAGGAGTCTTCAGAGGCTGTATCCGTGTGGGCTCTGGGGTCAGCCAGACTTGGGTTTGCATTTGAGCACTGCCACTCCCTAGCTGTGTGACCTTGAATGAGGGACTTCACCCCTCGGTTTCCTCATCTGTCAAGAGAGACTGCTGATCGTATCTTCCTGAGGGGCTTGTGACAATGCCTGTGAGTCAGGCCTTTCTCGCGTTCCAGGCCCCAGATGGAACTTGGCTATTGTTTTTCCTCCGCTGGCTCTGAACAGCAGCTCTGTAAAGTACCCAGTGATTGTTGTTGTTTTAGAATTTAACTGTTATGGAAGGATCTGGCATGTAGTAGGTGCTCAGGGAACAGGAGGGTGGAAACGGTTGGGTATCAGTTGAAGGAGAAATGATCACTTGTTATGACAAGGGGCGGAGCGATGGGGGTTGTGGAATAGCTGGGGGCCACTGTTAGCAGATATATGCTGCCTCTGTTACCCACCAGGGATGTGAATCCCTACGAGTCATTTAACCTCTTTCAGGACGTCTTCTTGTCTGCAAACTTCATTCATAACAGCGTCTTGCCTCTGAAGGCTCATTTATTCATTCATTCACTTGACAAATACTTTTTGTTCGCTGTAGTGTTGTCCAGGCCGTGTTCTAGGCGCTGGGATGACAATAATGAACAGAAACTCCTGTTCTTGCCGGGCGCGGTGGCTCACGCCTATAATCCCAGCGCTTTGGGAGGCCGAGGCAGGCGGATCACCTGAGGTCAGGAGTTCAAGACCAACCTGGCCAACATGGTGAAACTCCGTCTCTACTAAAAATGCAAGAATTAGCCAGGTGTGGTGATGGGCGCCTGTAATCCCTGCTACTCGGGAGGCTGAGGCAGGAGAATCGCTTGAACCCGGGAGGCGGAGGTTGCAGTGAGCCGAGATCACACCATTGCACTCCAGGCTGGGCAACAAGAGTGAAACTCCATCTCCAAAAAGAAAAAAAAGAAAAAGAAACTCCTGTTCTTGGGAGCTCCCTTCCCCGAGGAAGACAGACATATGCACAGGGAACACCCTGAGATACAACCTCAGGACCTGACTGGTGCTATGAAGAGAATTGAGGAAATGGGCAGGAGAGGGACTGGGATTGAGAGGGTACTCAGTAGGCCTCATGAAAGAAGTCATAGCTGAGTGGAGCAAGCCCTTTGGATTTTGAAGGAAAGGGGTCCTGGCACGGGGAGGTGCGTTCAAAGGTCCTGAGGTTGTGGCATGCTTGACGTGTGTTCAAGTGAGAGGGAGAAGGTCAGTGTGGCTGGACCTGAGGGAGTGAAAGGGAGAGAGGGCGGGAGTGGAGAGGGGTGGGAACAGGATCGGGAAAGGCTTTCTGGGCCATGGTGAGCACTTTGGCCTTTGTCTGCGTGAGAATATTTTGAGCAGAGGAGGGACGTGACCGATTGATGTTTTAAAATAATTCCTCTGGCTGCTGTGAGAACAGATTCTAGAGGTAGCCGTGGAAGCAGGGAACCAAATTAGGAGGATGTTGCAGGCCTCTGGGTGAGAGATAGTGCTGGCTTAACGGGGTGAGAAGGGACTGGTGAGAAGTGGGTTGGTGATACGTTGTTTTTTTTTTTTTTTTCTGAGACAGTCTCTGTTGTCCAGGTTGGAGTGCAGTGGCATGATCATAGCTCACTGCAACCTCCGCTTCCCAGGTTCAAGCAATTCTCCTGCCTCAGCCTCCCCAGTGGCTGGGATTACAGGCACCCATCACCATGCCTGGCTAATTTTTGTATTTTTAGTAGACACGAGGTTTCACCATGTTGGCCAGGCTGGTCTCGAACTCCTGACCTCAAGTGATCTACCCGCCTTGGCCTCCCAAAGTGCTGGGGTTAGAGGCGTGAGCCACCGCGCCCGGCCTGGGATACAATTTGAAGGGAAAACTGTCAGAATTTGCAAAGGGATCTGATGATGGGGGTTGGGGAAGGAAAGATATCGTCCCATCACTGCAGGACCCCAGAGAGGAGCCAGAGGACAGAGGGGAGATGCAGGCTTGGGGCACTGGAAGTAATTTAGCTGCAGGAATTAGGACTGGAGAATCAGAGGCCTTTTCTTAGCAAGCGTATGTTGAACGGCTCGCATGTCTTAAGAATTATACTGAATGCTAGGGACGTTGGTGAACAGGACAGACTTGTCCACCCCCCCATGAAGCTCCCAGCCCCGCGGGGGAGAAGGTGCAACATACAAATTGCAATTGTCCTTCACGCTAATACCCAGACACGGGTGTTCACGGCAACATTATTCATGATAGCCGGAAAACGGAAACGGACCAAATGCCCATCAACTGAGAAATAAACAAAATGTGGTCTATGTAATGGAATATTACCGGGCCATAAAAAATAACGATGTCCTGCTACATGTTGCCACAGGGATGGACCTTGAAAACATGACACCAAGTGAAAGAAGCCAGACACAGGAGGCCACGTGTCATATGATTCCATGTAGATGGACTATCTAGAATAGGCAAATCCATGGAGACAGAAAGGAGATTAGTGGTTGCCTAGAGTAGGGGGCTGGTGCGATGGGGAGTGACTGCTCATCAATGCAGAGGTTCTTTTTTTACTTTTTGAGACGGAGTCTCACTCTGTCGTCCAGGCTGGAGTGCAATGGGGTGATCTTGGCTCACTGCAACCTCTGCCTCCCAGGTTCAGGCGAGTCTTCTGCCTCAGCCTCCTGAGTCGCTGGGATTACAGATGTGCACCACCATGCCGGGCTAATTTTTGTATTTTTAGTAGAGACGGGGTTTTTCCATGTTGATCAGGATGGTCTCGAACTCCTGACCTCAGGTGATCCACTACCCCAGCCTTCCAAAGTGCTAGGATTACAGATGTGAGCCACTGTGCCCGGCAGAATTCAGAGCTTCTTTTGGGTTCATGAAAAAGCCTATAGCTGGGACTACTTGGGAGGCTGAGGTAGGAAGATCATTTGAACCCAGGAGTTCGAATCCAGCCCAGGTCACATAGTGAAACCTCATCTCTTAAAAAAAAAAAAAAAAAGAAAAGAAATGTTCTGGAATTAGATAGTAGTAATGGTTGCACAACATCATGAATGTACTAAAGAACACTGAATTGTTCACTGTAAAAGGGTGTTTTATGGTATGTGAATTGTATCTGTCTCTCTTTTTTTTTTTTCGAGACAGAGTCTCATTCTGTCGCCCAGGTTGGAATGCAGTGGTACAATCTCGGCTCACTGCAACCTCTGCCTCCCAGGTTCAAGCGATTCTCCTGCCTCAGCCTCCCGAGTAGCTGGGATTATAGGCGCCCACCACTATGCCTGGCTAATTTTTGTATTTTTAGTAGAGATGGGGTTTCACCATGTTGGCCAGGCTGGTCTCGAACTCCTGACCTCAAGTGATCT